AAGGGGGCGTGGCACCTCCCATACAAACCGAATATTCATACTGCATATCTCTGGAAAGTGTTCATGGTAGAGTGATGGAACTTGGTATGGGCGCATATAAAATCGATCGCATACTCTTGGAGAAAAATTGGACCTATTGGAAAAGGGGGCGTGGCACCTCCCTTTCAAACCGAATTTTTCGTACTGCATATCCCTGGAAGGGTTTGTGGTAGAGTATTGGAACTTGGTATGGGTATATATGAAATCCATCGCTTACTCTTGGAGTAAAATTTGAGCTATTGGAAAAGACGTCGTGGCACCTCCTATACAAACCGAAATTTTCGTACTGTATATCTCTGGAAATGTTCATAGTAGAGCACCGGAACTTGGTATGCAGATATATGAAATCAATCGCATACTCATGAAGAAAAATTCGGACTATTTGAAAAGGGGGCGTGGCACCTCCCATACAAACCGAATATTTCATAATAAGTATCTCTGGAAGTGTTCGTGGTAGAGTACTGGAACTTTATACGGGCGTGGCAGCTCCCATACAAGTCGAATTTTTCTTATCGCATATCTCTAGGATTGTTTTTGGTAGAGTACTGGAACTTGGTGCGGAGATATATGAAATTAATCGCATAGTCACGGAGAAAATATAGGGCTATGGGACAAGGGGCGAGGCACCTACCATACAAGCCGAATTTCATACTGCATATCTCTGGAAGTATTCATGGTGCAGTACTGGAACACTTCGTATGGAGATATATGAAATCAATCCCGTACTCATTGAGACAAATGGGCTCTTTGAAAAGAGGGCGTGGCAAAGTACAAACGTACTGACTTTTACTTATCTTTGAATGTGTATACAATTCTTCTGTAGGTATATTTGTGAGTGAAATCCTAAATGCCTGGAGGGATTTTAACAAAGTTTTGTGTGTGTGTTTGAGTGGGTCTCTGGATAGTTTAGTTTCACAATTTGATCCGCCAGTTGGCGCCGGGGTTGAGGTATTACTAAAAATCGTTTTTATGATCCGATTTGGCGAATATTCAAAACATGTATTGGAAATTGCCACTATAAGATAAAGTTTCTAGGGCACATTCACTATAGATCCGGATCATTTTTGCCACCAGGGAACTTCTCATGGACATAACACTTTCGTTCGGTTATTTAAAGCGGCAAACGACCACCAAACCATACTCTTAGCCGATGAATGTGCCAGTAAAAATCGGAAATTAGGATTGTTGGAGAAAATGTTGGACCAAAATGTTTAAATTAAAAGTCTAATTTTTGGCGGGACGAAGTTCGCCGGGTCTGCAAGTAGATTAAATAAAAATACAGTCAAAGACAAAAGCTTAAATAAAGAGAATTTTTGGAAATGTAGGCAAAAATAATATTTTATTTTTTTCCGCTAACTTTTCATGAAAATATACAAATAAAATCTCTAAACTTTGTTCCAAACCTAGGAAAATTCAATAAAATTTTGTACTAATTTACAACTTTCTAATCACATTGTTTATAAAAATTCTAAGTATGCCGTTTTATAGCCCATTCAATTTAAGTATAAAGAAGTGCAAAATAAAATTGCTAAAAGATCGCGATGTTTTTTGGTATTTTTTTCGGACGGTGTTATTGTTTCGCCCATACAAAAAAACATTGTCGACATACTTTATATGGAAGAAACTGCGTGAAAAATGCCAAAAAACAAATTGATTTTTTAGCAACTTCAAACTTGCACTTCGTTATACTAAAATTGAATTAAATTTAAATATAAAGCAGTGCAAAATGAAATTGCTAAAAAATCGCGTTGTTGAACGGATTTGCATAGAAATTTGCACATAAATAGCTTATTACCTATGTAGATTGGAAATTGGATACTTTTCTTAAGAGTTGCCACCTGGTAAATAAGTTTAATTAAATTAATACGCGGAAACGTCTGAACGGATTTGCATGAAATTTTGCAAGCAGATAGCTTATGACCTACAGTGGAAAATAGGCAAATTTTTTGGAAGACTTGCCACCTGTTAAAAGATTAATTGAATTAATACGCAAAAACGACTGAACGGATTTGCATGAAATTTGGCACAGAGATAGCTTATGACCTACGTTGGAAAACAGGCTACTAGATGGCGTTATACTGAAAGTGATTCCGATAACTCAAGTCCCCTTCCATACAAATTGGAATTTTCATATTACATACATGTTTCATATTACACATGAGAGTTATTGGAAAAGGTGGTGTGGCAACTCCCATGCAAATTGATTTTTCTATGCTGCATATCTCTGGAGGTGTTTATTGCAGAGGACTGGAACTTGGCACCGAGATGTGTATACAAAATTAATTCCATACTCATGGAGAAAAATTTGCGTTATTCGAAAAGGGGACATGGTTCCTCCCGTACAAATTTACTGTTTTATACTGCTTATCTCTAAAGGTGTTCATGGTAGAGTACTGGGACTTGGTACTGGGGTATGTAAAATCAATTCTAAATTCATGGAAGAAGATTAGGGTTATAAGAAAAAGGGGCGTGGCACTTCCAGTACAAATTTACTTTTTCTTGCCACATATCCCTGGAAGTGTTTGTGGAAGAATACTGGAACTTGGTATGGAGTTGTGTATGCAAAATGTATCAATTGCTCATGGAAAAAATGTGAGTTATTAAAAAAGGAGGCATGTCGCCTCCCATACATACTAAAAACTTCTTAATACATACCTCTGGAAGGATAGAAAATCTCTCGAAGTATTTTAAATTTGTTATGGAGATTTATTTTATAAGTGCCGTACTGACAGAATAAATTTCATTAAATGGAAAAGGGAGAGCCGGGTTCGGCCTTATAATCTAAAGCTCTCTTGAGGCATTTGCTACAGTAATGAGAAGTGGTATTTTATCAAGGCCAGGTTACTAAATTTGAGTTGGAACTATTAGAACTCGCCGTGGCACCTCCAAGAAGATTACACGTTCACGCGTCGTATACCTGGAAACATTTTAAGCTAAACATAGAGGGATTGATATCTTTCGTATGCCTAGCGGGCAGACGAGATTTTATAGTTTCATAGTTTTAAACGGCCTAAATACCTTAACTCGCTTAAAAAATAACGAGCTATAACGAAATGGGCATAAAATCTAACATCATTAAGCTACTTTTCATATTTGTATGAAAGCGCGGGGTGAAACCCGCGGGTATAAGCTAGTTGTCATATAAATCAAAAATATCAAGTTAATGAGAGAAAAATGTCATATTAACATTGAAAATGATCAAAACAACAGGTTTCACGTTAAATTGATATGAAAACTGTTAAATCAACATTTTTAAATTATTCTCATATTAAAATGAGAACAGCAGTTGACACTCACGTTCGCGCGTGCAAAAAATAAAAAAAAACGCTAGATCTATTGAAAATCGCATTGAAATTGTTTTATAGTCGTTTTAAAATGCAAACTGTGAGAATATTTAATAAAAAACCACTCAGAAAGTTAATAGACATTGGGAAAATGAGTGATGATTCTTTATTATTTGGCGAAAATGTTTCGCTGGCTATGAATGACGCAGGGGAGCATATCGTTCTGGAGCAACTCCTGTAGAAATTAGTGAAAATGGAGAAATTATAACGCAATCTGCTTAGTATGAAATATTAAGTGGAAATTTAGAACAGGTAAGAAATGATTTTCTATAATAGACATGTTTTTTACACGTACAACTTAAAGCTGTAACGACATTGACTGATCATAATACTATGATGTTGTTTTCCTAGATTGTCCAAACTCAATCAGGAAGATATCAGCGATTAAAAGACTTATTAAAAGAGATGAATATAGAAGCCGCTTACGACAAGTTTTTTGGTGATTGTTTTATTTTTTAATAAAATTGTTTTATAATCTATATATATAAAAAAGGATGTATGTATGTATGTATGTATCTATGCAGCTTATAGACTCCGAAACCATTCAGCCGATTTTGTTAAAATTTCCAGGATAGCTTCATAGAAACTCGGAGAGTGTTCCTGTGAAGTTTGGCTATTTTTGAAAGAGTTGCCACCTGTCAGAAAAATAAAATTTATTTAAATATGCAAGTAAAGTAAATATAGATATCAAATGGAAGGTATTTGAGAAAGATATTTAAGAAAATTTACATCAAAAAATATTTTAATAAGTGTTGCCACCTGGTCAAAAAGTTAAAAATAATGAATATCAAATGCAATTCACATCAAATATTGCAATATGGGTATCAAACGGAAGGTATTGGAGAAAGATTCACGCCAAACATATTTTTGAGTAGAGTTGCCACCTCTTTCAAAAAAAGTTAAATGACATAAATTTGTGTATTAAAAAGTATTTCGCAGGATACGTATCAAACGGGAGCTATTGGGAAATGTTTCAGTTAAGACCAATTATCGTATAGAGTGTCCACATACTTAAGAAAATAAAATCGGATAATATTTTTAAGAAATACCAAAGATTTAGAGTGTGATAAACTTCAAAGTCTGTCAAACCGAAAGCTTACCAGAAAGAAAATGCCGAATCCAAATTTTTAAATCTATATGTGAACATATGTATGTATGTTAATGCCAGAGTTGTGTAAATTTTCACCAGGTTGCAATTTAAAAACGGAATTTGTTTAATAGTTAAAAACCAAAAAAGTACTCAATATTAATGCATATCTTTTGTTTCTTATTGAATAAGGCTTAAAAAAATATAATAAAATTTGCAATAAAAAATTTTGTAATATTTTTTCCTAATGCGCATACGAGATTTTGCTTGCATAATTTTCCTAAATTTGGGTGCATAAATTTTGGTATTTTTCCACAACATTCATAAAGAGAATACCTACATAGAAAACACTTTGTTACTTAAGTTCACATAAATAAAGGGTTTAAAAATTTCAAATTATTTGGGAGGAAAGTACCTGCAGAATTATAGCATTCGTTTTTATTTTACGGTTGAAGGTAGTTAAATATTGTTTACAAGAGTATATTTTGTTTCCCAAGTTTACCTAAACAATGGCTTCATAAATCTTGGGATTTTTCCACAACATTCTTGAAGAAAATACCTACGTACAAAGAAATTTTTCTGTATACACTAATTCAGATAAATAAGAGGTTGCGAAAGTCTACCGATTTTTTTTTAATTTATTGCAGGAAAAGTACCTGCAGAGAATATCTTCTGCTGTTTGCACACGTTTTAGCATAGATAAAATATAAGGATTTTTAATCTTTTTAAGTGGAAGGTACCTTCAGAGAACATATTTATATTGTTTGCCTGAGTTACATAAACATAAGGTCGCATAGCTAATACATTCGCTCATAGCAAGTGTAGACACTGCGCAAACGATAGTGAATTCTTTTTATCTGAGATCAGTTCAACATACAGAGTATTATTATTAACATTCACAAAAAAATAAAATCATGCCACCAAAGAAAGCATCAATTGGAAGAAAAAAACCCAAAACAAAAAAGTCGAATGAATACAGAGCGGCGGAAACGGAAGATCAACGAAATGTCCGACTTCAACAAAATCGAAACAGAGAGACAAGCTCGAGAAATGTGGAAACGGAAAACCAGCGGGAATCTCGCCTCCAGCAAAATCGTGTGAGAGCTTCAACCTCCAGAGACGCTGAAACCCTGGAACAACGAGAATCTCGCCTACAACAAAATCGTGTGAGAGCTTCAACCTCCAGAGACGCTGAAACCCTGGAACAACGAGAATCTCGCCTCCAGCAAAATCGTGTGAGAGCTTCAACCTCCAGAGATTCTGAAAATCCCGAACAACGCAACGAACGGTAGAATAGTAGACATGGTATGCTGCAATCCGAATCGTATCTTGGAACTTTCGAAATTCGTAGCAATGGCATGCCTAAAAACGAACGAGTAAGCTTTTTTGCGTAATTTTGTACGAAAACAGAATCTTTGCTGCACCTTATCGAGAAACTTGGGTTTGTACAATGATTTACGGTTGTTGTGTCCAAACGCCTCAACCCGAATCCAAAAACTTTAACATACACGTGTGATCAAAGGATTCAACTTTTACTTAAAATAAATGTTTCAAATTTCTTGTGTTTCAATTTCTTATTAATAAATTCGGTTTGCACTATGCAATTTTTTACAATGTGGGTTCTGCGCAAAAATACTTTGATATGCACAAGAAGTGTTGTATACCTTTGACATGCGGATGCCCCTCTTCTCCGGCATCACAGTAAGGAGATTATACTTAGTAAGTGTTACAATCCCTAAGCGTGGCTGAAGGCGGAAGCAAGCGCAACAGGTGGTGTACCTAACAAAATGCATATTTTCAGTGGCTTGGAAGAAGCTGCTATTGTATTAACTGGATTGAGAACCAGTTCTTCAGGCATATGAGGAGTTCTGGCTTGTGGTTCAACAATTCAACCAGAAGCTGACATGGATGCGCTCATGCATGCCCTGCAGCTCCGCATACCTTTGTGAGTCCATTGCCATAGCTCGCTCTTACTCCGCTGCATCAGAATCCTCAAACTATTTAAAATCAGCCAATTTTACTATAAACAAGCACATGATGAGTGTTTTTTAATTCCTTTCCACTTTGTTTTCCTTCATACAGCTGACTTCGAAAAACAACTGATAGCTGGCAATGCTGCACATTTTTCCGCAAGAGTTGCAGCATGTCGATTTTTCGTTTTTCGTAACGTAGCTACGAATTACGAAAATTCGGGTTCTAGAATAAGGGTGAAAATTTTTGTACGCCCAAGTATGATTGACATTTTATTTTATTATATTATATATTGTTTGTAAATGAATTATATTTTATAAATAATATGTTTTTGAGAAAAATACACCGCAGTAATTTGAAAATTTCAAAATTACATTTCTCGACTGAAAAATAAGATATTCGCGCTAACTCGAAGGCACACAGTGTGCTTTTTTGTGGCTTATTAACATTTAGTTTTAATATTTTGAATGAGCTTTGTACCACGATAAGTAAATGTTAATAAGGAACAATAATATTGACAAATACATAGTTTAGGAAGAGCCTGCCAGAAACTATAGAAGAAAGCAAATGCATCTATAGAATTGACAACAACAACCACGCTGTCAAGTTTAAATAGCGGAAAATCAGCTGCACTTGATAGCAGTAGGTTGAATAAGGAAAATGAATTAGCAACACGAGTTCACGGGGTGTGCATAGCTCAGCGGTTGAGGCTTCTGACTTGCACATCGATGACGCGGGTTCGATCCCTGCTGAAGTCTAGAAAAAAGAAGTCTGATGAGGAGATGTGGTGATCTCCGAAATAGCTGCTATAACTTCTACCGCTTAGACTTTGTTGCTTTTTCCATTTTTCCTAATAAAATAATCGTGGTACAAAGCTTATTAAAAATATTAAAATTAAGTGTTAATAAGCCACAATAACATTGACAAATACATAGTTTAGGAAGAGCCTGCCTGAAACTATACAAGAAAGCAAATGCATGTATAGAATTGACAACAACAACCACGCTGTCAAGTTTAAATAGCGGCAAATCAGCTGCACTTGATAGCAGTAGGTTGAATATGGAAAATGAATTAGCAACACGAGTTTACGGGGTGTGCATAGCTCAGTGATTAACGCTTCTGACTTGCACATCGATGACGCGGGTTCGATCCCTGCTGAAGTCTAGAAAAAAGAAGTCTGATGAGGAGATGTGGTGATCTCCGAAAAAGCTGCGATAACTTCTACCGCTTACACTTTGTCGCTTTTTCCATTTTTCCTAATAAAATAATCGTTGGACAATGCTTTTTTAACACTTCATGCCAATCAACGGTAGCGCTTTCGACAGAAGCAATATTTTGATATGAAACAAAATGGCTTTGAAAGCTAATTTAATTGCTTTTCAAGGAAAGGTATTGCCATTGAGCCACAATCACTCCTTGACCTTAAAAAAATTGGTCAAAAATAGTGTTCTTCGAAAAACAGCATGCAAAATCCAACGGATATGTTAAAAAATAACCATTTTTTGTGTTTTTTATTATACGAATATAATAGATTTTAAGACGAGAAACAGGATTCCAGTGTTTAAAAAAAGAAAAAAATTTCAATCCCTCAATTTAAAAAATGCATTGTATATTGCATTTTTTATGATTTGCTTGCAGCTGTGCATCCTTCACACAAATTTATATCCCTCGAACAAGAAGTCAGTTTTCATGCTATTCAAGACCTTTAATTTAACCAAGGCCTTAACTCTAGGCCCTTTGAGAGCTAAATTATTACGATTCTGAAGTTAAACTTCGAAATTTCATTCGACATTTTACCCATTTTTTTTCTAATTTCGGAGTAAAAACTAGTACAGCAGTTTCGAAGTTTGGTTCAAAATTGTTATAACTTGGCTCTCAAGGGCCTTGGCTCAAATTAAAGGTCTTGAATTGCACTTATTGTTTGAGGGATATAAAATTGAGTGAAGGATACACAGCTGCAGGCAAATAGAAAGAATGCAATAAAGTAATGCATATTTAAATGAAGGTGTTAAATACACCTACATATGTATGTATATAATTACGCATAAAAACCGTGCTGCTATGTTTTTTTGTACGTAAGTGAGCGCAATATTAAAAGCAAGCATACCATCTGTGTATATCGCAAAGCTCGAGAACGGCTGAAGCGATTTTTTTGAAATTTCGGACACCTACTGCAGACGTTCAAAGGATGGTTTTTGGCTAACAAAAATCTCGATTTATAAAGGGAGCGTGGAACCTCCCATACTATACTATACTGTTATACTGTGAGCAAAATAGCAACGAAGTTATACTTCATGCGACGTACATGCAAATTCTTAAAGAGGAAGTATAAAATAATGGTATACAGAGCTATAATAGAACCCCTACTAAATTATTTCCCACCTATATCATTCATAATTAATGAAAGCCAGATTTATAAATTGCAAAAGCAACAGAACTGAGCAATGAGATTTATTCTTAGAAAACGTTATGACACCCCAATCAGAGACATGTTGGCGGTCCTCAATTGGTTAAGTGTTAAGCAACAACACTTCTATTATGCTATGAAATTCGTTAAAAACATTATAGATGGCAACCTGCCAGAACATTTAAAAGGTAGAATAAAGTATGGCAATGATATACATAACAAAAACACCCGTAAAAAACGACTTCAACTTACGCATGTTTAAATGTGAGTCTGATAAGAGTAATCTCTACTATAATTTAATTTCAATTTCAAATTTTCTAAAATGTTATAATGAATTACCTAATAGTATTACCCAATATAGAAAAATAACTTAATTTAAAAGAAAATTATTTGCATACTGTATATATATATATAAGACTGTTTCAATATAACTAATGTGTTCTATCTCTATCCTCGCTAAGATCCTGTTGCCATTTACTTTCGTCCCGTGAAATTTTAAATGTTTGTATATAAATGAATTCCCTTACAAATAGTCCTATTAGGCTTAAGTATTGCATTTTGAATACTAGGTTAAGCTTATAATTAAATATTGTTATGATCTAGGTTCAAAAGAGCCGTAAGAAATAAATAAAGTAAAAATAAAATAAATACAAACCGAATTTTTCATAATCAATATCTCTGGAAATGTTCATGGTAGAGTTCTGGAACTTGGTATGGAGATATATGAAATCCATCGCATACTCTTGGTGAAAAATTGGAGCTTTCGGAAAAGGGGGCGTGGCACCTCCCATACAAACCGAATATTCATACTGCATATCTCTGGAAAGTGTTCATGGTAGAGTGATGGAACTTGGTATGGGCGCATATAAAATCGATCGCATACTCTTGGAGAAAAATTGGACCTATTGGAAAAGGGGGCGTGGCACCTCCCTTTCAAACCGAATTTTTCGTACTGCATATCCCTGGAAGGGTTTGTGGTAGAGTATTGGAACTTGGTATGGGTATATATGAAATCCATCGCTTACTCTTGGAGTAAAATTTGAGCTATTGGAAAAGACGTCGTGGCACCTCCTATACAAACCGAAATTTTCGTACTGTATATCTCTGGAAATGTTCATGGTAGAGCACCGGAACTTGGTATGCAGATATATGAAATCAATCGCATACTCATGAAGAAAAATTCGGACTATTTGAAAAGGGGGCGTGGCACCTCCCACACAAACCGAATATTTCATAATAAGTATCTCAGGAAGTGTTCGTGGTAGAGTACTGGAACTTTATACGGGCGTGGCAGCTCCCATACAAGTCGAATTTTTCTTATCGCATATCTCTAGGATTGTTTTTGGTAGAGTACTGGAACTTGGTGCGGAGATATATGAAATTAATCGCATAGTCACGGAGAAAATATAGGGCTATGGGACAAGGGGCGTGGCACCTACCATACAAGCCGAATTTCATACTGCATATCTCTGGAAGTANTTCACGGAGAAAATATAGGGCTATGGGACAAGGGGCGTGGCACCTACCATACAAGCCGAATTTCATACTGCATATCTCTG